GCATATTTCTACTTTCAGTTCTATCACAGTTTGCTTCATGTGTCAGGAAACACCATGATTAGAGGCATATAAATTTAGGATTGTTATGTTTTCTTGCTAAGTTGACACTTTTATTATTATATAGGTCCCCTTTTTATCTCTGGTAACATTCCTTGTTCTGAAGTCTACTTTATCAGATATTAATATAGTATTTCCAGCTTTCTTTTTATTATTGTTTGTCTGTATGGAGGATAAAGCAACTCCATCTTGGATGCTAATCTGCATGTTGACTTCTGCTTAACCAAGTTAAGATTTCTACTTTATCTTTGGTTACCCTAAATACTGCCCTTAGGTCAAAACAATGTTGACCCTAAATCCTGCCCTTAGGCAGGTTCACAAGGGCTCCTTGCCTCTTTCCCTGAGGGTTTGGATTCAATTTTGTCTTACACATTTCTTCCCTATGGTATATAAGCCCTGGATCCCAGAGATAATGGTGCAGGATCCACTGGCTGGCAGCTGCCCAGGACATGGCTTCTGTTCATAAGTCCCTATTAAATGTTTCTCTCTGAGAAACTGGATATGTCAGCCTTTTTCTTCAGCCTCTCAGCTTCCTTGGCTTTTGGGAGTAGGTTTGCACAGACCTGCTCTCAGTGGAACAGCATGGTATATCTTTTCCATTGTTTTGCTTCTAACTTATCTATATCCTTATGTTTATTTAAAGTCAGCTTTGTTTAGATCCGTATAGTTGGATCTTGTTTTTTTAATCCAATCTGGCAATCTCTTTTATGTTTAGACCATTTACATTTAATGTGGTTATTGATATGGTTGGATTTAGATCTATCATTTTTATTTTTCTGTTTGTCGCACTGTTTTTGATTCTTTTGTTTCAAATTTGCTGCCTTCTTTTGGAATACTTGAATATTTTTAGAATGTTATTCTAATTTTTTTTTACTATTTTAATGTATCTTTATTCTTGGCTCTAATTTAGTTATTGCTCTAGAAATCACACTGTACATATATAACTTTCCCCATTCTACTTAGGGTTAACATTGTACCATTTGAAATATAATATAGAAGATTTACAAACAAATAGGCTGCTTTATCTTCCCCTACTGACCTTTCCATTATAGTTGTCACATGTATTTCATCTATCGTTTATTATAGTTGCTATACATATTTCATCTATTTATCAATATTGATAAACCTATCAGAAAATGTTATAAGTTTTCCTTGCAACAGTAGTAAATATTTTAAAGAACCTCAAAGGATAAATGGAGCTTTTTATATTTATCTAAATAATTATCATTTCTGTTGCTTTTAATTTCTGAAGATCTCAATTTATCTCTGGCTATTTTTCCTTTCAATTTAACTAACTTTGTTTAGCTTTTGGGTGGGTAAGTCCACTGCTAACAGATTCTCTTGGTTTTCTTTCATCCGAGGATCTCTTTATTTTGCACCCTTCTTGAAGGATATACATTTCTGAGTTGACAACTCTTTTATTTTAGCACTTTAAAGATACTGGTCCACTCTCTTCTGGCCTCCATTTTTTCTATGAGAAATCTACATTCAGGTATTCATTCTTTGTATGGAAGAACATGTAAGAATTTGTCTAGCTACTTTCAAGATTTTTAAATTTATCTTTGGTTTTCAGCAGTTTAGTTATGTGTCTATGTATTGTTTTCTTTGACTTTAACCTGTTTGAGATTTGCTCAGCTTGAATCTGTAAATTTATACCTTCCACCAAATTTGGGATGTTAATGGCCATTATTTTCTCAAACATTTTTTCTGCGCCAGTCTCTTTCTCTTCTTCTCTGGGAGTCCAATGACATGGTCTTAGACCCTGTGAGGTATTGTTCCACAGGTCCCTGAGACTCCGTGTTTTTCAGACAGAATAATTTCTATTGATATATGTTCAAGTTCACTGACTCTTTCCTCTGTCACTTCCATTCTGCTATAAGCCCATCCAGTACTGTTTTTATTTTAGATATTGTATTTTTCAGTTCTAAAATTTCCATTTATTTCAAAAGCAGAATGTGACTAAAATGAAAAAAAATTAAAATTAAAAAAATATAATTTCCATTTGACTCTTTTAAAATAGTTTCTATATCTCTGCTAAGAACAATTATCTTTTTCTTTTCTTTTCTTTTTTTTTTTTTTTTTTTTTTTTTTTTTTTTTGAGGCAGATTCTCACTCTGTTGCCCGGGTTAGAGTGCTGTGGCATTAGCCTAGCTCATAGCAACCTCAAACTTCTGGCCTCAAGCGATCCTTCTGCCTCAGCCTTCTGAGTAGCTAGGACTACAGGCACGTACCACCATGCCCGGCTAATTTTTTCCAAGATATTTTTAGTTGTCCAGCTAATTTATTTCTATTTTTAGTGGAGACAGGGTCTCACTCTTGCTCAGAGCTGGTCTCAAACTCCTGACCTCGAGCGATCCTCCCGCCTCGGCCTCCCAGAGTGCTAGGATTACCGGCGTGAGCCACCGTGCCCGGCAGAGAACAACTATCTTTCCACCCGTTTCAAGTTATAATAGCTGCTTCAAATGCTTTTAAAATTTCAACATCTAAGTCATCTCAGAGTTGGCATCTGTTGATTGTATTTTCCGCTGAGAACTGGTGGCATTGTTCTGGTTACAGTAGTCTCCACTTATCCAGTTTCTCTTTCCCCAGTTGCAGTTACTTGCAGTCAACCAAAGTTTGAAAATATTAAATGGAAAATTCCTGAAATAAACAATTCATAAGTTATAAATTGTGTGCCATTCTGAATAGCATGATAAAATCTCAGTCTGTCCTACTCTGTCCTGCCCGGGATATGAATCACCCCTTTGTCCAGAGCATCCATGCTGTGTATGGTACCTGCCCATTAGTCACTTAGTAGTCATCTTGGTTATCAGATCGACTGTTGCAGTGTCGCAGTGCTTGTGTTCAAATAACCCTTATTTTACTTAATAATTGTCCCAAAGTGCAAGAGTAGTGATGCTGGCATATTATTCTGATTTTTTAAATTTTATTATTAGTTGTTGTTAATCTCTTTCTGTACCTAATTTATAAGGTAAACTTTATCATAGGTATATATGCATAGAACAAAGCATAGACTATATAGGGCTTGGCGTATCTGCAGCTTCAGGCACCCACTGTGGATCTTGGCACGTGTCCCGTGGAGAAGGGCTGACTGCCGTATTTGTACATTGAGTGATTTCAGCTTGTGCCCTGGACGTTATGAATGTTATATTGTATAGACTCTGGGCCCTGTTATAATACTCTATAAAATGTTGATTTTGTTGTTGTTATTGCTTCAGTAGTTATTCAACCAATTTAGGTTCAGACCCTAAGTTCTGTCTCACCTTCTGTGGGGGGGGGTTTCTAATCTTAGTGCAAAGCCACAACAGAAAAGAGGAAAAAAGGGAAATCACTCCATGGAGATTACTTCTCCGAATTTTGACTTCCCTGTACCATCTGCCTGCTGTTGTTTAACTTTCAGTCATCAGTTAGCTGTGCTTTGTACTTTTGTCCAGAGTTTTTTGGTATAATCAGGAAGAAAGATCGGCTACAGTGGATTTACGCTACTCCTTCTTGGCCAGAATTTGAACCTCCTGCTCAGTGTCTTTTGATTTGCTGGAGTTTTAAAGAGCTAAGAGAAATGAAGCCTCAAAGCACAATGAAGACAGTGAGAGCTGTAGAGAAGTTGAAAGAGAAGAGGAAACAGCAAACCCCTCTCCCTTGTTTAAAATCCCGTTACGATGTCAGGGCTCCTCCTAAATCATGATAACCAAGCCAATGTAACTATTCCTATTTTTTGGACGAGAACACTAAGGAAGAGCTGGCCATTTGATTATTTGTCCTGAGATCTCATCCCCTTGCTCTGTATTGCAGGGCCCTGACCATTGCAAACTACATTTCCCCAAATTCCTGGAAAATTAGCTTTTAATTAGACTCTGCCAGTAGGAGGCACTGGCATAAAATTGGAAGAGAAGGTAGGCTGTTTCTTCCCCTCTCTTTGCTTTGGGCAGCTTAGCCAGCAACAGCTGCCTCTTCTGTGGTTCTGGCTTCCTTTGCAGAGACCCTCTTTCTCAGTGTCCCCTGCTGGGCTGCTCTGGTTCCTTAGCGGGTCTAACAGCACCTCCTCTTCTTGTCCCTCCACCCTGGGAGAGGCATGGTTTCCCGTTGTACCTGATCTTTGGGCTGCCTCACAACTCATCTGCCCTTCCATCTCTTCCAACATCTTAATAACCTTTGCTCCACTTTAATTCCTGCTACGGCATGCACTGTTTACATGAACTTGGACTGATGCAGTCCTTACGGGAGGGCAGCAGAACAAAAGCTCTAGCTCAAGTCTCCTGACCCAAATGTCAATGTCTTCCCACTGCCCCACGCTGCCTGGGAAGGAACATCGAAAGAAACAGACTACTTTCTGGCCAATCGGGAGGGCAATGCTCTGATCTAAGTTGCACACTATTTTACAGAAATGCAAAAAAAAAAAAAAATGTTTTTCACATATAATTTTCTAGGAAAGTCATCTTATATTCATGGGCATCTTCCTTTGGTGTTAATACAGTACATCACCTATTAGAACATTGAGTCTCCCTCACCTATATCCCTACTCCTCCCCCCTGTTCTGTTAGACCAGGAGGCAGGTGTATCTTAGGATGACCCAGCAGAACATTGAGCAAGAACCAGGGCTGAGGTGAGAGCTCCACCTGATGTGATCAGTGGTGCCAAAGATGAAAGGTGGGGGCTTCGTACTGGGAGCACACCACAGGTCACGGAATCCAGCAGAGTCCCAGAGGGATCAGAGCTTCGGCGATTTCCCAAGACCATAAGGCTGGACCCTGGTGGGAGAGGGACGGAGGAAACGTTCTTGGCAGCCTCCAGAAAGGGGTACAAAGACCAGGTTGGAGTTGGGGCCACAGACAAGGGAAGAGAACATGGAACCCAGCCATGGCCCTGTCTTCCAGTCCAGGCGGCATTTCTTAGTGTGTGTCCTGCCATGAGCTTATGAGACAGAAATGAAAGCAGAGCCAGCACCTTCTGGCACAAACAACCTTTAATAATCTCCTATTTATGTTTTTTTGTTCATTTGTCCTGTTAGAGTTGAGTAAACTATAATAACTTATCTGACATAATAAGGAATGCCACAGGTACAACAGATAAACCTGGCAGGTGGTCCAGGAATGAGAATGTCACAAAATAATCACTTAACAAAAGGGCCACAGACCTGGAGACCCATCCCAGTCACCCCTCACTTCTCGTGCCCAGGAAGAGGCCGGCCCCACAGCGTGTGGCTAGACCCTCACACTGGGCAGGAATGCCCAGGAAGGTGAAGATGGCACATCCTACACTTGTTCCCGAGTCCTCTGCTGGTTTGCAGTGCAGGCCAGGACCTCATCCGCCTCTCGTATGCCACTACCTCACATGCCCACCTCTCCCCTTGCAATAGTGCCTGTGAGGTGGGAAGAGCCTGGCACAGCCCTACTCTACACGTGGGGAAACTGAGGCCAGTGGGCTCCCAAGGGCACACTTGGACTGGAAGTACAATACCAGTAGCATTCGATCCCCTGTGTCATGTGGCTGGCTATGCCCTGAGCTTCATATTTTCACCTAGAATGTCCTAGGTGGGGGCACTTTTGTGCCAAGAGCCAGTCTGGGTCTCACCCAAAGTGCTCACCTGCTAGTGATCCCCAGCAAAGGCCCCGGGCAGAGGACAGAGTTCAGGCGGTGGGGGCCACAAGAGCCTCCTGTTGTCCACATGCTTGGCTGTCCACAAATGTGAGGATAAAATCCCACTATATTAAAGTCCCATTATATTACTTGTTGCTTAGGAGGTCTCTAGGGGAATCCTGCCCTCAACAAAGGGGCTTTTGCCACATATCCTCCCTGAATCTGTCTTTTATGTGAACCTGGGTCCCCATCCATCCGCTGTGTGTAAAGACTCATCTTCTTCCCCCATCACTCTGTCCCTTGGGCACGGGCCAGGGAAGTGGGGCACCGTGTAGGGGAGCAGACACACACCCTGGGTGGGGGGTGGGCCTGTTTCCTGGCTCCATGGTTCCCTGTGCTGCGTGGGCCAATATTAGGATCTAGACCCATCCTCACTGAGCACCAGGCCCCTGCCCAGATCAAACCCAGGCCAGAGCTTCAGGGTGGGTTGGCTAGAAAAACCATCAAATGTGTACGTGTGTATGTGCGTGTATGTGTACATGTAAGCAGAATCTTGGGCCTGGGTCTGTGACCCAAGTTCCAATACAAAAACCCTTTGCATTAGAATGCTGGAGCCATTCCAGCGTGAAAAGCAGGAATAGAACCTGTGCTTGCTGGTCTAAGATCAAACCTCAGAATGGTGGTTTGAAGTTTTTCTTCTAAAGAAAGTTTGAAAGTGAAACCTTAATAGGCAAGACAGATAAAAGCAGAGTTGTTCTGGTGGAAGTGGGACGGGGGGAGGGCTGGAGACCTATGCTGTGCCTCCACCCCCATCTTCCCACCTTAGCAGCCCCTGACTGAGCTCTGTGGAATACCAGGGGTTCTACAGCCTCTGGTTTGAAAACCGCTGTGTCAGAGTGTCTACAGATCGTGGGTCCCAGGGACCTGTGCTTTGACTTCCCTTTTGGAGTGACAAGTTGGGAGAGAGTGATGGGGGAGCATATTCCCCCTTCATCAGGGCCACTCTTTGAAGCCACTCTTTGCCCTTGTGGGGAAGTGGCAGAGGTGGGCTCCTGCCCCACAGTGAGGCCATATGGATGAGGGTTGGAGGAGTCTGTTTTGGTCCTTATTGAGTTTAAAAAGAAAAATATCAGAACACGCATAGGCCTATGTCCATGAGACCCTATAAAAGTTTAAGACTAGGGCCTAGTCCCTCCCTCCTGGATAGGTGGAGAGTGCCCGGTCTCTGGCCACTGGCAGGAGAGAAGCTGCCTCTCTGGGCTGCTGAAACCACTGGGAAAAGGAGGAGCTGGAGCTCAGCTCTCAGGCCAAGAGGCCTGGGTTTTCCCTGGGCCCAAAGCCATCCCAACAGCAGGTAGCTATGGTGGCTCCAGCTGGTCCTGGAAGTGGCCTTATGCTTTGAGGGGAAGGAGCAGGCAGTTTCCCTCTCCCCTCATCCGTGGATTTCTGTGATGGAATGGTTCAGCTCCTAGGCCTGGGGGCTGGTGGTTCTCTTCAACTTGGGGTCAGAACCAAGGCTGCAGGGCTCTGTGGGGTCTGAGCAAAGGGAGATGTGGATGACACTAGGTCTGGGCAGGTACAAGGTACTCTCCTCCCCCAGTCACTGACACTATCCATGCCTGCTCTCTGTGTCCTGGTACCTGGGACCATGATTCTTGGGCATGGTGTTCCTAAATAGTGTCTAAATCTCCCTCTCAGCTGGGTCACCAAAGCCAAATTGGCTGCATCTCATTCTGGCTGACATCTACCTAAGTGACATGAAGACTGGTGGGAGGAGGGCTCAGCGTGACCTTGGGCCATGCCCCTGCACTTGGAGGGCCACACCTGTGCAGCCATTTGCAACGCACAGAACACAGGCCATGGACTTTCATCTCATCAGGGCCTCACAGCAATTCCTTGAGTCAGGAAGGGGAGGGATTACTGTCCAATTTTACAGTTAGAGAAACTGAGCCCAAGAGGTTGAGTAACTTGCTCAAGGTCACCCAGCAGCTGGTTGGTGACAGCTAGGACTGAGAGATGGGAACTTTCAGAACAGTGTTCCTTTCACTCTACCATGTGGGAACCAGCTTGTCAGGATCTCTCCCAGCTGAACCAACACCCGGGTGAGCCCACGCTAGCCTGGCTGGGCTGTGAGGCTGAGGTGGCCCGTGGGGTCTAGCCAAACAACTCAGTCCTCATGTTCATGGGAGCTGAACTCCTCTCTCGCTGGAGTGCTGAGAAGCCCAGCTGGCCCTCTGCGTGGCAGGTCTTCACCCAGGGCATGCTCTTCCCTCTGCCCATGCCACCCACGGGCCACACTGAAAGTCCCAGTGCAGGGCTGCTTGGCCAGCACAGGCCCCAAATGCTTGGCACAGAAACAGCCAACACTGTGGGCTGCTGCCTGGGACCTAGGGAGGCTCCCCCACCCCAAGTTTCACTCCAAAGTCTCACCTGGACAAGCTGACTCCAGATTAGAGAGGAGCCCCGCAGGGAAGCACTCATCATGCTTTGTAGGGCTAGGGTGGCGGTGGGGGGATGGTGTCTGGAGCCTACTAGAAGCCTGGAAAGATGATCTAGGCCTTCCACTCCAGGAAGAGGCAGAAGGAAACACCGGGGCCTGTGTGTCCCTCAGGGCTGCAGCACATGGCTGTGTGGGAGGGCGTCTGGCCAAGGGACAAGTTGTGCCCAGATCCAACCTGTGTGCCCCTTGCAAAGCTGCCCACTCCAGTGTGGGTCTGAGCCCACCTGAAAAGGGCCATTTCCTATTCACATCAAGGCACTGTATGGACCGGCAGCAGGCATGGGGCCCTGACGGCAGTGGCCCCTAGGACTTCCCCCATAACTTTCCCCTGAGGACAGGGGCTGGGGCCGACCCATCCCTGTGTCTCCAGTGTTTAGCACAGAGCAGAGAAGTGGTCAGCAAAGGATGGTTAGGCTGACTTCAACTAAACTTGACAAAAAAAAAAAAAAATACCTGGATAGGGCTCTGACACTTTCCCACAGTTGGAGAAATTGATTAATAACACTAGCTAAACTCAAAAGGGTGTGATATTGAGGTGGAGGAAGCTTAAGAAACCAGCCTGACAGATCTTCTGTGTGCGTGTGCTAGGGATGGGGGAAGAGGTCTGTAGAGGAGTGCTCACCCCAAATGCTAAAGGGTCTTGCGTCAGCCCCAAAGGTTTTGGAAGAAAACACTGGAGGGCACGTGCTTGCCATGCGCTGTTCTAGCATTTCACCAACTCTACAGCTGCCCAGATGAGGTGCAAACTGCCCAGCAAGCTCTGGTAGGACGCGGATGCCCAGGGGTGCCTGCAGCTAGGACCCCAGGACTGGTCAGGGGAGTGTGTCTGCCCCCAGCTGACTTGGCTCTGGCCTGTGGAGGGGGTCTGCTGAGTTGAATGCTCATGAGAGTCAGAAGGTACAGTGCCAGGCTTGTGAAGTGGGAAACGGTTGCACAGCACACCCCCAGTGGTGCTGTACTGAAAAGGGTTGAGATCCAACTTGCACAATAAAATTTTGTTGTCTCCCTTTTCAGGCAAGTATGGAACAGAGATGGAAGGGAACAGAAATTAAGGAGAGATCCCCTTTCCCTGCTAGTCAATATATTTGCTTGGGTAAACCTCAGGGTGTTCACACTCCCCGGGGGCTGTGAGGCATTGAGGCCCCATCCCAAACCCCCACCCAAGCCTCAGCAAACACAAGTTCTGTCCCTCTTTCTAACACTCAGGCCCTAGGGCAGAGCAGCGCATGCCAGCTCCGGCCACAGCCTGACGTCAAGGCACCAGCCTAACACCGGGCTAGGTGCTCTGTGGGCCCTGCCCCCTCTGAGGTCCAGGGAGTCCCCTCTGCAGGCAGCAGCTCTGGCTCCACCACCAGACCAAAAGCTCTCATGTTCACAAATTCTGAGGCCAGGGCTGGGAGGGCCCTTTGTGGTCATGTGGTCAAACCCCTTGGTTTGCCAGGTGAGGACCTGAGGCCCAGAGTGGGGAAGAAACTTGACCAAGACCCGGCCCCTCTGGACCTCCAGCCTTGTTTCCTGCAGGATCATGTTAAGTCCACAAAGGAAGGGACGTAGGGCAGACTCTCCCCTTCCTGCTCCCTGCTCCCACCTCTGAGAGCCCCCTGCTCACTCTGCCCAGGGCTGGTACTTGCTGCAGACCCCTCCCTCTCTTTCTTTCTCTGTGCTTGTAGAGCGAGGTCCACACACATAAAATACAAGGGAGCTAAGGTGTCACTTCCTGACAACACTGAAATACACTCGGGCTAGTTCACACAGCTTGTCTTAGTCTAGGTAACTGCTGGTAAGAAAGTCAGTCCAGTTGCTTTTCTCTATTCTTGGGGTCTAGGAACCTTCAGCAGTGTCACTTTCAGACACAGAGGGACATGGGGCAGGAATGAGGGTGGAAGGAGAGAGGTCTTTGGTGGGTCCGAACTGCAAAAAGGCATTGAGAATCTATCCACGAGTCTGCCCTTCCAAGCCAGAAGGAGGTGGCCTTCAATGCAGTCATCTTTTAGCTGCCAGACTGTGTTAACCACGTGGGACTAGGACATCTTCTCATGTATCTTGAGCCCTCATCCCCACCCTCCAAGCCCCATGCCCTGTCCTCCCTGCCTGCTCCCCATCTCAGGTCAAATTCCAAGGCCAGTGCCCTGTGGCCTTTCTGGGAGTCAGTATGAAAAGGAAGGGCATGGAGAGGTAACTGCAGAGATGGGGGTGAAGGTGGCACTTTGTGGTCCTGTTGGCATGGTGATGTGGGGCCAACCATGAGGCCAGAGGTCCATCACCGTGACCTGGAAGACCACTGGGGCCCCTGGTAGAAACTGGAAGAACAAAGGGAGGAGAAACCAGGCGGGAAGAAGACGAATAAGCATCCTAGTGCATGAGAGGGGCCCGGAGCTGCCCGGAGGGAGGGCTGGCCCCTGTCTATCTGTCGTTGAGCTGTGGGGAGCCGGTACCGTCCTCCTCTTCCTCCTTGTCGTCCTTCATGCCTTTCAGTCTCTGGCGGGCAAAGTCCTCAAATACAATGTCGTCATCACTGGTGGGAGAGACAAGGAAAACATGGTGTGTTTGCAGGGGCAGGGGGAGGAGGCATCTCCAGTGTTCTGGCCAGAGGTGACCCAGTCTGCTCTGGGCCTGGGGGAGAACCGCCCTCTCTGAGGTCTCTGGCTCCTGGGGTGAACCTTGGGCAGAAAGGCCAGCCAGGCTGCTACATGTGGATGCCCACTGAGGCAGTGAGGACAGTCACATCTGGACGTGGCCAGTTGTGAAAATGCCAAAGGGGGACATGAACTTAACTCTCATGCTTAAACACTAGGAAAGTGACCTGGATTCCTGAGGAGCTGCGGAGAGCAATGGGCTCTGTAGCCACAGGAAGGAATTACTCCCGCTGCGAGAGGCCAGGCCACCCGAGGGAATCCTCCGGGAACAGGCCCAACAAACCCTACCCACCCGCCCAAAAACTACCCTTAGGAAGCTTTCCTGTTGCTGGACAGGAAGGAGTAGACTTGGCTCAATGGAAGAAAAGGCCATAAAGAGCCTTTCTCCCCAGTGTCAGCTCACACTCTACCCTGAGGGACCCTGGATGGGACAGGGGCTGGGTAGGAGAATGGCAAATCTAGGAGGATGGGACAGGGGGGCAGAGGACAGGTGCGTGGGAAAAGGGGACGCCTGAGTGGGATTTCAGGGCTAAGACTGGTTCTAAGAACAGTGAATTCCCTTCCACCAAAACACACATCCACTTAGGACCAGGTAGGGCCCACCCAGGTCCCCTGCCCCACAGGGTTCAGCCAGTGCATGGGGCGTCCTCATTGGGTAATGGAAAACCCCACACCCTGGATTTCTCCTGGGAGACAAGGGAAGGGTGGCCTTGGAGCTGGAGCGAGAAAGCCGCTCGGCCCTGGAGGTGGTTCGTGCTGTCGGCCCAGGTCCTCCCCCTCTGGCCACTCTCCGGTGGGTGCCGCGATGGCCTTTGACCGCTGGGAAATCCACACGGTTGGTCCTCAGGAGTCAGAAGTGACAAGATCCCCAGACGCCTGCCCACCCCACAGCCTGATTCCACGGGTTGGGCGTGGGTGAGGCAGGAGAGCCGAGCCCAGGGCCATGAACCAGCCCTGTGTGAGCTGAGCAGGCGCTGTGGATGGACGGACGGACGGACGTGCAAGGACGAGGGAGGAAGACAGACCCCACCAAGGCAGGAGGAAGAGGAACAGGCACGAGGGTCCTTCAAGTCACATGCAGGCAAGCAGGTTGCTGAAGAGGCGAGCAGAGGCGGCTCTCAGCAGACCGGGTTAGACCAGCGGCTCCTCAGGGGTTAATAAGCATATATGCAAATGACCCCTCCGCCCCGCCCCCGCGGCCGCCCCCCCAGACGTCTGCAGGCAGGGTTTGGCTTACTTTGTGTCAAGTTCTATGAGATTGGTATCTACTGGCGCCTCGTTCTCTGGAACTAAACACAGGGCGGGCAGGCAGGGGTTAGTGAGCTGAGGGCGTGGGGGCGGGTGGGCACAGGCTCCCACCCTGGGACAACCAGGCTAAGATGAGGAGGGCAAAGGAAAAGGGGAGTGGAGAAGAGGAGCTCATCCCTGGTCTTGAAACCCACAAGTCACCTTAAAGGCAGGGAGGAGGTGCAGGGAGGGTACTGATGCCCACTGCAGCCCCAAAAGAGCAGAGAAACCTCTGGCCCCTGGTCCTTGCGACAGGTCTCAACATGACTTAGATTAATTCCTTGCATGTATCCCTTTCTTTAACTCTAAGACAACTCAGAGTTAATTTTTTCACATTTTTAACATCTGAACTTGAGGGGTTTGGCCATCAATGGCATTTCATAGTTTAATGGTGGTATATACCATGCTGGTACCTTCCATAATGTTGTCTCTTGCAACGGAAACAGTCTTAGATTCAATGAAATATGACCAATCTGGTATCACTTGTAAAAAACAAAAATATGGAAATGGTGTGTCCAGGGGTCATCTCATCTATGCAGCCCCTTCCCCTATTTCCAGACGGGACCCAGCCCATGCCAGGGCAAGGCAGGGGCTCAGAGCATGGCCACTGAGCTCCTTCCTCCAGGTCTGCCTCCCCCCGACAGAGGAGAGGAGCCAGGCCCCACTGTCTCCTGGAAAGGTCAAAAGCAAACAGGAGTTTGGGCCCCACGAGAGATCTGGGGAGCTAACAAAAGGGTGACACTGGCTGAAGGCTAACCCAGAGGGAGGTGGGGTGACAGGGTGACACGGCAGTGGTGGAGAACCCCCACCCCAGTGACCCACAGATCTTGCTTACCTTCCCGATGTGGGGGCTCCTCTTTGGGCTTGGGGTGCATTAAGGTGAAGGGCAGTTCCACAGCCACGTCGCTGAAACAGAGACCCAGAGCTGGTGAGCCTCGAGCCCAGTCTCAGGCTGTGAGCCGCGATGCCCTGTCACCGTGAGGACAGGGAGGGCTCGGTGGTCAGAGGAGGAGGTCTGAGATACAGCCTCCAGCTCTGCCTCTGTCTGGGAGATGAACTAGGAGGCCTCTTCTTCTGGCTCCCAAAAGAAATGGAAGCTCCCCCTTTCCCGAGAAGGATCCCTGGATTCCCGAGTGCTGGGCGGAGGCACAGGGGTGGGAAAGGACTGCCCAGGGGAGTGTGCACTGTGGCCACTGCGCAGCCCCAGGCGTGCCCTGGACCCTGCCCTCCTCAAATGGCCACAGCCACCCCAGCCTCCCCGACACGGCCCTTCCCAACCAGCGGGTTGGACCCCTTCCCGCCCTCACTCCATCTCATCTCCCAACACTGCCAAGAGGCTTCTAGAAAGGTGCTCAGGCTGGAGGAAGCACTGCTGAGGTCAGTCTAATCAAGTTTAAGTGGGAGGAGCCCCAAGGCCCAAGACTGTCCACGCTGTGCAGCCTTGTGGAGCCAGAGGGAGCAGCAGCGGTGGGGAAGAACTGGCCCCAGCCAGTGATCCTGATGGGGCTTCTCTGCCTCTGGCCCCAAAGGACCAAGAGCAGACAGCTCCGTGGTGCTGACTGTGCCAAGCACTATTTTAAGCCCCTACCCTGGAGTAACTCATTTCATCCTCCCAACCACCCTATTGTTATCCCCAGTGTACAGTTGGGAAACTGTGGCACAAGGAGATTAAAATATCTTGCCCAAAGCCACATAGCTATCAATGGTAAGTGGTAGAGGATTCTTGCTCCATAATGCACACCCTTAATCACCGTGTGATAACTTCAGAATTGAGACTAACAAAAGCTGCCCTGAACACTCTTCTCAGCTTGGGGTGTTATCACCCCCAACTGTGAGCACCTCCAGGCACAAGCCATATCCCACTGATCTCATTGCCCAGGCCCAGCTGGGGAGGAGTACAGGACTGGAACGGACTGGTGAGGTGCACAAGCTGTGCAACCAGAGAGATCTGTCACCTGCCCCACCACTCCCTGGCAGAGCACTCTATCTCTGAGCATCTCTGAGTTCATCTGGAAAGTGGGGTAACAATGCCTACCTTCTAGAACCACTGGAACTTCTGGGAGATGATGCAGGTACAAGGTTTGGTTAAACCTTGAGGTTTGTGCCTGTCAGAATATCACTTCCCCCCAATGGGAACATGAGGGTTTTATAAGGCTGTCAAAATTATTTGGCTTTTTTAATCCTTCTTTTTTTCTTTTGCTTGCAAAGGGGAGAGCTTCTGCAGGTTCACTTGGAAGACTGAGCTATCAGAATGGAAGCCGGTAGAAGACTGAGTCTGCCAGCCTTCACTAAGGTTATACGGGATGGGAATGGAAGACTCCAGACCTTAACTAAACCATGGGTGGCAAGGGCAGGGGGCTGATTCCTCTCTGGGACTTCAGCTCCCAGCACAAGCCTGGGTTCTGGAAATCTTTGCTGAATTATATTGAACTGAATTGAATTGACTCAATTTCTTAAGATAAGTAACATTACCAGCTTGCTACAGGAGAAGGCCAAACTGCTGTGGTAGTAGCACGTGCATTTTTGGGATGTGAGTCCATCCAGCTGGCTACCAGGGAGCCTTGTCTACAAAAGTGGGTACCCTAAGCCAGCACTGGCCAGCACTTAATTCTCACTAGCATAGAAGTATGAAGGCCATGGAGCCTGCATTTCTCCAAAACATCCTGTACTTCAGGTGATGGGTAATTAAGACAGGTCTCTTGGGGGCCCCTCCCCAGATCAGTGCAGTTGGGCTTTGCTCTCTGTAAAGATCCCTGTCACTTGAGTGGGATGAAGAGCAAGGTGAGGTGTCTCCCCAGCACACACCTGAGCCTGGCAATCTGAAGTGAGCACTAAGATTCCTTCCAACCCAGTGCCCTGTGATTCTGGTCGGCCAGGCCAATGGTCTCTGGGCCCTCCAGGAAGGTGAGTCAACCAGGTCGAAGGGAGGGACTTTACCTGGATGCAAGATCTCCCAGCAGGCTGGGTGGGTCAGAGGAGGCAGGAGAAGTGATCAGGAGAGAGTTCAGAGAGGAAGAAAACAGAAAGCACACATTCATTCACCACTTCTGCTGCCCCTGGGATAGAAAAGACCCATGGGGCACATTCCCACCCACCCCTGCACAGCTCTGCCTGCTATTCAGGGATACACTGAAATGCCATTAGCCCTGCCCAGGGCTACCGAGATTCAGGCCAGCTCAGCAACCCCCCTGAGCCCCAGGATCCTTATCTGGAAAGGGAGTGTAAAAATTAACCGGGTGCTGCCCCAGGGGAGCCTGGGGGGCGGGGTGAGAGCCAGGCTCTCTAATAGCAAAAGGAAGCACTCCAGGTTCCCAGGAACAGGGAAGACTGTGGGTCCTGCAAGGTCACAGGACACTGGATCTGCAATTTGCAATTTTGAGATGTCCTATAGTGTGGTCAGTATTACTTATACATTGCCACCTGCAAAGAGGCATTATTCAAATAATTAAGGTAGCTCAATGTCAACATTATTGAGTTTCTTAATCTTTATATAGAAATTTATAAACTAAATTAGAAAAAAATCCCTCTGATAAAGTAGAAATTCCAGGTTTATAGCAGGTAGGCCCAATATATGGGGAAATGTGGGGTTTTCCTGAGCCTCCACCAACCTATGTTCTAGGGCAGGGGACATGTCTGGTCCACTACGGTGGCCCCAGCAGCCAGCCCATGACCTGAGGTTAGGGGAGGAGATTCAGGAAATGTCTGGGGAGTGTTTGGACCTCTGTTTCACCAACTGTGAAATGGGAGAGTCAGACCCCCTAACATATCCCTATTCCAGCTGTGGGAGCCCCTCTAGCTGTTTCCGCCAAGATCAGCCGGGGTAGGGGTGGGTGCTGTGCCCCAAGGTGTGATGAGGGGTGTGGCATCCCAGGGACCACACAGCATAGTCTCTGAGGACACTGTCCCCCAACCCTCTGTGCAAGGCTCAGACCCAATAGGGAAGAGAAGGAGGAGGAGGAGGAGAAAGAGGAGCAGGAAGGAGGAAGAGTGGGGGCAGGAAGCTCCTCCCCCAGAGGTGGGTGCATCTAGGAGGGCAGGCAAACAGGCAGAGTGGGGTCAGCTGCCAGGGCCTTGGAGTCACTCCCCTCTGCACTCGGGGTCTAGGGTTGGCTAGACACTCACCCGCCCCGAGACACCACCAGCTTCACCTTCACCTTGTAGGACACGATGATGCCCAGGATCTCGCGGTTGGCTCCTTCCCTCAGCCTGCAGACACAGAGGAGCTGGTTCAGGGCTCGCTGGAGGGGAGGGACAGGCAGGGGGCAGGAGCAACAGCCACCCAACCCTCTGCTGTGTGTGCCCCACCCTGGGCCTGGTGGGAGGGAAGAAGGTGAGCCGTGCCCTCGTGCCCCTGGCCCCCAGATCCGGCTGTGAGACCCTCTGGGCCCCTCCACCTGCCAGGGCCAGCGTCCCCGCAGGGTCGTGTGTGGAGTAGGGGCAGGCTCCCCGACAGGTCACACGCCTGAGGCCCTGGACAAGCCTGAGGGAGAGGGTAGCCTGAGCCTTGTCCTCGTAGTGGTGGGACCAAGGAGGGTGTGCATCCACAGGGGTGCTGGGCAACAGGAGCCTGGGAGCAGGAGGGAGGGTCCTCACAGGGTGCTGGAGGCCAGGTTCGTGTCTTCGTGCTTGAGTTTCCCGTCCAGGGCAAGGCCCCGCTTCTCCCGGTTGTTGGCCAGGAAGGGGGTCAGCGTGTAGACCTTGCAGAACGTGGAGCTGGGTGCCACCGTGTCGCTGGGAGGAAGGGAGGCAGGTGTGGAGATGGCCCTCCCCAGAGCCGACCCCAGCCCTCGCCCCACGCTGTAGGACATCTAGCCAGGCCCTGCTCCAAGCCTCCCTCTCCCCACCTGTCCCCTGATCACAGGGACCACTTGGGCTGGCCCAGCTCTGGCAGGAAGACCACTGCCACCCAAAGGAGGCGAGTCTACACTCTATACATGAGCAGGACTGACCCTGGGATGTTCTGTAGGAAAAAAACTACCCTAGTCTAACTGGGCAGCACTAAGCAGCACATTTATTTTAGAAATTACAGCTACACACAAGCCATGCACGAAACTACTGGACTTCCATATACCCCCCACCTAGGTTCTGCAGTTAAACCTGTACTTGCTCTATCACAATTGATCCATCATGTATAGGGTAGTTCAACTGTTCAGTTTGGGGTTTTGCTCTGTGCCCACCCATCTTTTCAATCATGTAGCAGCCAGTGGGCAAGCCTTGGAGTCACACAGCCTGGGTTTGAGACCAGCTTTGGCACTTGCCAGCGCTCTGAGGCTGAGCAAGTCCCATCTCTCTGACCCACGTCCTCATTTACACACTGGGGCAGCAGCAGCCCCCGCCCCACAGGGCTTCCTGAGAATTACACAGGCTGGCAGCGCAAAGGCCTCCCCAGCCATCCAAGCTGCTGTCTGTTAGGCAGATGCCGGCACCATCTGCAGGGCTGGGGGTTTTCCACTCTGGGGACTTTATGTCACTCTGTCTCTAGATCCCCTCACTTTATGCCCCTGCCCCCTGCCCTACACCAGAAATCTGTTTCATGGCTCTGACTGCTTTCTAAATCAGCAGTGGATGTAAAAGGGCCCAATAATGGGAGAATGTTTGATCTGATCATAGCATGTTCACCTATAGGAGACCAGGTAGTAACATTTTTAAAATGTTTTTAATTTGCAAAAAAATATTGACTGCAAGTATATGTAAATAAATACACACATGCATATAAAATTACATAAAATTCATTTGCCCCCCCCCAAATTCTTTGCAGGGCCAGGAGGAAAAAATGTGTGTGTTTTCTAATGGGAGCAACTACTCCTTTAGGTAAGTAAAGATGTTTTGTTTCAGATCTCCCCTCTTGCCTTAGCTGCCAACAAGCTTGGGACAAAATTCTATCCATGCTCAATCATAGTAGCTCTCCTCAAACCTAGATTTTTTGTGTGTGTGCATAATTATTCTCAACCTCCCACACATAACCCACTTTCCCCAGTGAACCAGATTACTCCTTTATCAGGCAAGAAAAGTGGTGTACCTACTGCTTTGCCCCCTTTGCACTGGCTACCAGGAAGCTCAGAGCACAGTATCTCCCTTCAACCTAGGTTTCAGGCACAGTGTAATTATCTTCTCTCCATAGCCCCAATCCTCTCACATTTATTAGCTCTTGTTTTGTTGTTCTAGTTTTAGTGGGTCTTTTGCTTAACTGATAGCATGTATCTCTTGTAGCTAACTCAGGTAGATGGTTTCTAAAAGGTTCTTCAGGATGATCTACTCTGAGTGGCAGGGAAGTCTGAGGCCCAGCCCTCTGCCAGGTGGGCCTGTAACAGGACCCAGAGCTTCTCTTTTTCCCACCCAGTCCCCCATGTCCAAAGCCAGGCTTGTGCTCACTTACTCAGCCTCTTCCATGGCCACAGGGCACTTGTACTGAGCTGTGTTGAAAAGGCAGATGTCCGCATGCTGGCGCACTAGGAGGTAGAGGGATGGGGCGCTGTGAGCCAGGGACCCAGCCCCCCCAGAGCATCTCAGGCTTCCCCAGGCGGGGGATGTCCAGCCCCAAGCAAAGGCCAGAGGCCACCCGGAGGCACTCCTGCAGGAGACCACCCCACCCTCCACCCAAAGGGTTTCTCCAAACACACCCATTCCCTCCCATAACCAGAAGTTTTCCCTTTGACGACAGCTTTGCCCAGAACCCAAAAAACCAAAAAGAAGAGGTCGCTTAAGCAGTAAACTCATTACCTAGCCCGTGATCAGCCTATGTTACCAGCCTCAAAAGCCTTACACTTTGGCTCAGAGCAGGCCCTGGGCTTAGGTAGTTATTTACAAGGCTGTTAGCAAGGGCAGATCCTCAGCTGCCCCCAACCCCTGGGAGGAACCCCTCTGGCCCACCCCCTAAGCTGACCCTCTCCCTGGGCTACCTGAGATCTTGATCTTCTTCACTGTCTTGTTGGTGTTGTTGGTGACATGGACGTTGACGCTGATGGGTTCTCCGTGGTAATAGATCTGGGAGGTGTAAGAAACGAGAGGGTTGGCTGGGAGGACGCCAAAGTTCTAGGGAAAGCGGAGGGAGGAAAGGTCCCACACAAATCTCCTGGGGTTCCCCAAACCTTGGCTGTTCTGCCCTGTGCCGGAGTTCATCATCCACTTCCCACTGATGCTAAGGGGGCGGGCACTACCACCACCAGGTGTATTGGCCCTCAGCTCCCTGTGGGATCCCTGACACATAACTGCTCCAGTGCCAGCTCGGCCACCAGTAACAATGACAATAACAACAGTAACAGTGATGATAGCGGTGTAACCTGGGCAGGTTATCTAAGCCTCAGTTTCTCCCTCTGTTCAATGAAGGGGCTGGACTAGGGGATGCCTCGAGCCTCTGCCAGCTCTAAACTCTGTCCCCAGGAGGGTCCAGAAGAAGCAGGGCAAGGTGGGGAGGGCTGCCCAGCTCTCTGAGGGAGCCAGCTCTGAATCTCACCCAAGGGCCTCACTTGCATCTTGTCCCAGGCACGTGCCTTCAGCAGTGCCCACACCTCTAGGGGAGGCCAGCCTGAGCTCACAGCAGGCACTAGTCAACTGGTTTTGACTCAGAGTTTAAGGAGGAGTCCCCTTCCTTCCACAGGGTTTGCTGCCTTATAGCTCAGGGTTGGCAGGACTATGCCAGGAGTTCCCAGGCTGCCTGTGTCTCCTCCTCTACCGAGCTGGTTGGTTTTTACCACTTGGCCTGATGCATGCAGTTGGTGGAGGTGCAGTGGGCAGCAGGGAGATGGCTGGGACCCTTTGGGAGGGTCCGCTGCTCCCTTCTGAAGTCAATCGCGTCCCTCGGGCTCATGCCCCTCTGCCATTCCTTTAGGCCCCAAGAGGCTTCTCCAAATCCCCAGGGAGGTCTCAGATTCCCTGAGCCCTGTGGTCCTCAGGCTGAGGGAGAAGCTCCTACCTGAGGAGACCCCACAGGCCAGGAGAGGGCTGAGATCTGAGGTCCAGGTCCCCACCCCTACCAAGTCCGAGCCTCCTACCTCCTTATCCAGGGAGGCCTCTAGGTGCAAGGGCTTGTCCGACATGAGGAACTGCCTGGTGGTCTCAGCTGTGGGCTGGGGGCCGGGCCTCTCTGGGGCATACTGCACCTTCCGGATGACCAGACGCACAGAATTCCTAGTGGAGACGGGAGGAGTGAAAGATGCCCAGAGTCACCTGTCTTTATCCTCTCTCCTGTGATCTTTGCCTCACTCTCCGCTCAAGAGACTGCCGTGGGTCCCCCCCTCCCCGCCCCACCTCAGAATCCAGCCACACTGCAGAGGTTGGATAGTGGCCTTGTCACCATCTGGTCCCACTCCATCCTCCCCATCCTGTCCCCGAACCACCCCGTGGCTGCACGTCCTTTGGGTCTGGTCTTGGCACTCTTCAGGGCGGTAGAAGAGGGACTGTGATTCCACTCCCTGCTTCCCTGTGTCACAGAATAGTGTGTGTAAGCTCTCTTAGGACAGAGCTTTTTGTCTAAATTGTGCATGGCTGTATTCTTAGCACCTGTGACACTGCCAGCCATGTAGTAAACACTTGTCAGGTCTCTCATAATGAAAATATGCACAGGAGACATGAGGAAATGGGTGCTAAGGGGGTGTTGGGGTTCAGTGAGGGGATGTAGACGCAGGGGGATGCCCGCCAGTGAAGAGGACAACTCGGTGACATGAGATGGGCCCAGTGAAGATGACAGAGGCTCGGGGGCAAACGCTAGTAAGGGCTGAGGGCATGGGGACTCGGTGTTCATGGTATGCAGCCTGTGCCAGCAGCCCCATTTCTCAGACAGGTGCCTCCACGCCCTGAAACCAGAGGGCCAGGCTCACTTGCCCAGCTCCCCTCTCACTGTATGACTGACCTTGAGGAAATTGACCTCTCTCTGCCTCGGTTCCCTCATCTGGACATGGAGACAATAGCAGAACCTATCCCTTAGTGTTGTTGTGAGGATTAAATGAGTTCATACATACCCAGTACTCTGAACGGTGCCTGCACCTAACAGGCCCTTGGCAGACAGATGAGAGCCAGTTTATCATTATTACTCTTAACTCTTTCGCGTGGATTTAAAATGGCCCATTGGTGGTGGGGTGAGGATGATGGCTCTCAATGTCGCCTTCTCTTCCTTCCCACAGCCCCCAACACCCTTCCTCTCCCAGGGTCTCAGGTCTTATAAGGAAGTGGGGGACCGAGAAGCAAGAGAGAAGGGTCCCATCTACACACCTACACACACACAAACGTTGCCGGGGCTGCTGATGGAAATGCATGCAATACGCCCTGTAGCCACCAGGTGGCGAACTCAGCCTGGTCGCTAAAGAGGCTGCTGTCCCCTCAGCCCGCCTCCCCCCGCTAGAAACTCTGCCTCAAGACACAGGGGCGTCGGAGCTGGGGGCTGAGGTCAGCCACCCCGGGAGGCAGGGCCAGCCAGGGCCTGACCCGTGGCGAGGCAGGCGTGAGAAGTCAGGGCTGCCAGCTGGGCTCGCTGCTTGGGTCTGCGCCTCCCCTCTCTGAGCATGCGCTGACCTCTCCTCACTCTCCCCTGAGGGGTTCACTGTCTCCACGGCCCTCCTCGCTGAGAAGACTCCACTGGCACCCCCACCTCCTGCTGATCGCCTCCCAGGAGGAAGACCGGGAGATGGGCATGGCAGGAAACATCCTGCTCACTGCTGACTGAATGTAGGGTATTTTCCAAAACAAAATAAAAAGACATGCAGTCTGGAGGGGCTGAGACTGCAGGCAGGGAGATGGGGGGGGGGAGCTGCTACCAGGTGCAAGAGCGAAGATGAAGATGCTGAAGCCCCAGCCAGGGCCAATGCGGGAAGCTCTCCCGGACCTGCTGCCTCGCGGAGCGCCCTCCTCAGAGCACCCTCCTCAGAGCACCCTCCTCAGAGCGCCCAGGCGGGAATGTGCCGTCCTTCTTCACACACTTCCAGGTATTGTTACTTATCTCCTCCTCGGACTCTGCCCATCCTGTCTCCCTCTCTCTCCCAGCAGGCAGCCCGCCCCGCAGCCTGGCGACCTGCTCACCGCTTGTGGATCTTCTCCTCCAGGTTCTCTGCGCAGAACGCTTTGACCTCGTAGTCCACACCGCAGGCCTGTGGGGACGCGGGCTCTGACCACGGGGCGGTGGAGAGGCAGGTCCCCAGCCCACTCTCTCGTTTCACAAACGGGGACACCAGGGAGGAACACCAGGCTCCCACAGCCCAACCCCACTGGCCTGACCCCAAAGCCCTTGTGCTCGGCCCAGCGCCGGGCTGCCTCCCTCTGCACCGTCTCCTCCATCTGACCTTCCGACCCAGCTGCCCCCCAACTCCTCATGACACCGGAGGTCCCAAACCACCCTGGCGGGGCTCTACGCTTCGGACTCCTGCCTCAGTCTGGGTGGCCGTCCTCACCCAGGCAGCCAGCCGGAAACAGCAACAGGCACTGAGCAGACTGTTGGGAGCACCTGCTGCGCGCAGACCTGCACTGGGTGGCTTGCTTCAGCCTCACACAACCCGCTAACGACACGAGGAGGCACTTCCTATTGTCTCCACTTTGCAATGAGGAAATGGGGCTCAGAGATCTGGGGCCTGGGACGCTAGTGGTGTCATGTCTCTCTGAGCCTCAGTTTCCCCAGCTGTGGAATGTACTTCTATACAGGGTTGCTGGGGGTAGTGTGAGGCCAGGTGTAGGTCCTCAGAACATTCTGGTCCTATTGCAGCCAACGCCGCAGCCAGTGACAGTGACTCGGGGAGCCTCTGGACTGTCACTGACTGTGGCAGTGAGGCTGACCTCGTGTCTGGGGCCCTGTCTGGAAAGAGACTGGTTGTCTGGGGCGGGATCAGCCCAGTCTAGACACAAGGAAATGACAGGAAGGGCGGTCTTGTTTATCTGCACCTTCCAGGGAAAAAGCAGGGACCTGGGGACATGAGAGTCCTGGTCCCAGAGAGATGCTCCCTTTGGGGTGACCCACCTTCCCCGTGTCTTCGGGCCCTGGCTGCAAAGTCACAGAGCATGGGAGGTTTGGAGGGATCTGTAAAGAAGAATGCAGAATCAGCCACCTGTCACATCCACCACTGTCCCTGCCCACACCCTGCACCCCCACAACCCCCGCCACCCCACACACCCCTGAGACCAGGGTTAAAGGGTTTAGTGCAGCCCAGTCCTCACAGCGACAGCTAAAAGTGATCTTCCTGTGATGCCCACTGTGGAAGGCAGAATAACAGCCCCCCAAAGATGTCACATCCTGGGACTGTGTGACCTCACAGGACAAAAGGGACTTTGCAGATGGGATTAAGTTAAGGACCTTGAGATAGGGAGAGTGTCCTGGACTGTCGTGGCCCAACATAACAACAAGGGTCACTGAAAGTGGAGGCAGGAAGCGTCTGAGCCAGAGTGACGGAGGTGTGAGGATGACACAACTGGCTGACGCTGCGGGCTCTGCAGATAAAGGAAGGGCCACGAGCCAAGGCCGTGAAGCTGGAAAATGTGAGGAAACGCACTCCCCCAGCGCCTCCAGAAGGAACGCAGCCCTGCCCACACCTCGAGGTTAGCCCAGGGAGACCCAGTTTTGGACTTCCAAGCTGCAGAACTGCAAGATCATGCATCGGTGTTGTTTTAATTGGTGTGCTTACTTGAGTCTGTGGCAATGTGTTACCGCAGCCACGGGAAACTACATCTACATGGGAAAGATGACTCCACATCCCCTCTCCGCTCTCTAACCCGCACGGGAGCGGCGGGACTGTGCGGAATCACAGAACCAGAGTGTCTGAGAGACGTGCAATTTTGAAATCCAAAATCTTGGAGTCTCGCATTTGAGAGGTGGCAGGGCAGGGGAATCAACTTCTTGCCGTCCCTCATTTGTGAGCTGAGCAGACACCTTGTAGTGACCCAGGGGTCAGAAAAGGCTCCTTTCTCTGCAGCTGCCTCCTCAGCCCCCCTTGCTCCCAACATGAGGGTCTGGGAGTAGCACAGAGGTAGGGGTGATGCCCCCAGCAGCGGCCAGAGAAGAGACACTTGCCAGGTGGTGTAAGTGACAGTGCCCCCGGTTCCACAATGCACCAGGGAGCTGGGTGACATGCAGCAGGTGACCTTCACTGCCCCCACGTGCCCACCCAGAGGTGGTGCTTCTGGAACTCGACGGGGGGGGGGGGGGGGGGGGGGGGGTGGGGTGGCAGCCCCTGACCTCAAAGGTGAAGGGGTAGGCGTGCTCGCCCAGCTTCTTGATGAGGCGCTCCTGGAGCCGCGTCAGGGGCTTCTTGTCCTGGGGTGCCGGCGGGAAGGACTGCACGTTGGCCACGAAGAGATCCTTGCGAAAGGTCAGGCCCAGGACATCCAGGTCCTCCCGGCCATAGCGGAAGGCGCAGGTCAGTGTCACGTAGACTGTGGGGAGCAGGGGCACTGAGGAGGGGTCTGGAGAGCAGCAAATAAGCCCCCAGAGCACCAGCCGCAGGCCTGGGACTGGCCCCGGCCACAGGTCCACAGCTCCCTGGAGATGGCCGCGCTGTCTTGCCATAGGGGCTGGTGTGGAGCACCTGCCCGTGGCCCGGCCCCTGGGAGGAGCCGGGGGCTGCCTGCAGGGACAGTTCCCATCCCCCCAGGGAGGGGCTTGGGAAATGGTCTGACAGGCGGGCATGGTGGGGGCTAGAGTAGGCTGGCAGGTGTGGAGTGGGGGCCAGGGGCCTGGGGAAGGAGCAGGGAGATCGGGGGGTGCTGAGCGATGTCCACAGGTATGGCCTTGTCTCCACCCCTGCTTCTGTCTTCTGCTGCCCTTGGACAATCCCCTTACCTCCCTGTATCAATGTTCCCTTCTGCAAAATGAGGCCTTAACTGCTGGCCTGCTGGCACCCCCAGCCTGGCCACAGTCGTGACATACTGATGTGAACGTGCTTGGGCACTGGAAACATTCTCCCAAAGTGGGCCTGGGGCAGGGCCCTGACTGCGGTGTTGCTGGGGTGTTCAGGGAACCCTGTTAGAGAGGGGCAGGGGGACCCTAGGCTGGAGGTCATGGGGGAGGAGGAGGCCCCGACAGGCCGGGGATTGGGCCGCAGCCTACCTCTCCTCTCTTTGAGATACTCAGGATCCACCAGCACCACACCATCTGTGGGAAGGAAAGAGTGAGCAGACCCTCCCAACTTGACCTCTCGAACCCCTGAGCCCCAAACACCAACCCAAACCCAAGCCCAACCATCTGTCCAACTCAGAGAATCCTGGGAGAAATGGGAAGGGCAGCACCCAGGGGTGGGCCTATTTCTACCATTCCACCCCGCTCCTGCCCCAGGCCAGCCCCACAGACCCAGCTGGTGACTGTCAGCAGTTACTTAACATCTCTGTTGCTTCATGTGTTAGTAAGAATAATACAATGGGTTGAAAATGCCTAGGACCAAGTATACTTGGAAATGTAGAAGTTTCAAGTCGTAGAGAGGCAATACGGCATGTGTTCCGAATATTCTGTGATTTCCTCTGCAGGACCTGCACCCACTATTAAAGCCATTGACACTTCCACGAGGAAATGCCAGTATCTCACCAAGTGGCTGAATAAGACATAAACAGCCTCACATCAGTTTAGGTCAGGCTTGCCAGTAAATCAATTCTGCACCAAACTTAGAAACAATTTTAGGTTTTCAGGGTTTTCTGGGTTTGGCACGTGTGGATCAGGGGTTGAGATCTGTAGTACTCACCTCACAGGCCTCCCGGGAGGACTGAATGGGTCGTATGTGCAGATGTGCACGTGTGTAAAATGTGTCATATGTGTAAAGCACTTAGGTGGTGCTTGGCCCTCGTGAGCAGCATGGAATGTGCCTCGGTGCCCTGAGGCCTGCCCTCGGGAGCAGAGTTCAGCCGGACACAAAGGACATCCTCTCTGCCCAGCACCCCGGGAGGCCAGAAACTGGCTCAGGGGTCACCCCCTTGCCTGGCATCTCCAGTCCATCTCTGGCCAAAGCTCTGTCTCCCCCTCCTCCTCTCTGCCCACACTCACCCACCGCCACCCACCCCTGCGGCCCCCAGTCAACCTCTCAGGAATCTAAGAGGCCTTGCCTGCAATGAGTGCCTGGAGGGATCCCAGTCCAACCCAGTCCTGGGCAGGCGCCAGGGCCACGGTCAGGGGAGTGGCCAACCTGTCCCCATAGCCTGACCGTGCATCTTCCTTTTATGGTGGGCATCTCCTCTGTGCCACGTCCTGCACCGGCACCAGGGGCTCAGTGGAAAACCAGTGTCGAGGGAGGCCCAGCAAGGGCACTCTGCCATAGGAGGCTCCCTGGGAGAGGGAAGCTGGAACCAGGTCTCAGGGGACAAGTAAATGTCGTTGATTACACGACTCAGGGCTTGGCCAACCAGGCAGTGGGAACAGCATGGCTCTGCGGCCTGGGAGAACAGATTCTGGAGGCTGGCGGAAGAGGGGGGCCAGACCTGATCGTAAATGTCCAATTAGCCGGGCCAGAGGCTTGGACTCGCGTGCAGATCTGATGGCAATAGTTAAGCATAGGCAGGATATAATCAGATCAATGAAAGGGCAATGCCATGATGGAAAAAGTATTTCTCCCTGTGAGTCACCTGGTCAACTCTGGACAATGCCCCAGAGCTCTTTGGGATCCCCAGGGCTCTGCCCAGGCACAAACTAGGTGCTCTGTGAACACTTGCTGAACAGCTCCCAGGGTGCCCACATGTGTGCCGGGAAGCTGGCTCCCTCCTGCTCCTGCCCCTCCCAGCCTCTGGGCCGCCTCTGCTGCTGCCTTTAATAGGCTAATGGGCATGGCCAGCCCTGGCCTCAGCCCCTGGGAACCACGCACGACCTGCAGCAGACCACAGGGGAACACTGGCATGCCTGCCGCTGCCTCTGAGCGGCCAGTTCAGGGAGAAGATGCAAATGGCAGAGGAACACTGAGCTTCAGAAGACAGGGAGGAGAGGAAAAGTGGGGTCACTCTGCTGCAGGCCACAAAGCCAGGGGCCTGGAGTGAAGCTGGCCTCACTGCAGCTCACAGCCCTCAGGTCTGCCCCAGAGTACCCAAGGTCCTCCTCCTAGTGAGCTGAAACCCACCACTGTGAATTCTCATTCTTTCTCTCTCCCTCCCCCCACCTTGTGTGGGACCCTGCAGACCACTCCTGCCCTCTGGCCTCAGGACAGCCCCCAGGGATGTGATGAGAGAGGCCACATTCTCTGGGACTTTTTTCCCAAGCAACACCTCCCAGTTTCTGCACCTAGACTCGGCCTCATGCAGTTTCTAGTCCCCATTCTCCAACCTGTCACCTCCTTTGGCCTCACTTTGATTTATTCATGTCCCTCTTTGAAAAGTCACTTACCCTCTCTGGGCCTCACTGTGCCTGCTTGTAGAACAGGGGTAACGCTGGCCTCCCACTCAAACAGCCGTGGGAAGAGGCAACGAGACTCAGGCTCTCCCAGTGAGAGCAGAGATTCTCAAATGGGTGATTTTGCCCTCCAAGGGGACATTTGGCAATATCTAAAGATGCTTAGGACTGTCGTAACTGAAGGAGAGGTACTCCTGGCATCAAATGGGTACCGGCCAGGGACGCTGCTATACATCCTGTAACACACAGGACAGGCCCCACCAACAGAGAATTATCCAATCCTAACTGTCAAGAGCGCAGAGGCTGTGAACCTCTGAACTTGAATGAGACCTTGGAAGGTGCTTTCAGCCACTGTCCAGCCTCTGGCAGGACCCCCACGTGGGTGAGGACAGCCCCCATGACTAGCCCCAGGAAAGTTGTTGCACCCTTTGCCATCAGAAAGCAGCAGGATGAAGGGTTTCTGTACAGCCAGACTGCAGGCTTTGAATCGGGCTCCTCTCCCTCCCAGCTGTGTGACCTGGCGCGAGCACTGAGCCTCTCTGTGTCTCATTTCCTTGTCTGTAAAGCAAGGATAGCAATGGTAGCCACCCCCAGTGTCTGCCATGTGATAAACCTTATGGTAAGCAGTGGCTGCTGTCATCGCCCTCCTTATCATCTTTATCGTCACCTGGATGCCTTCCCACAAGTGCACGGTCCCCACGTGAATGGGAAAGCAGCTGCCCAGTAAGAGCTTGCTGCCGAAGCAGGAAGCCAGGCATGCCCACTGCTGGCACCAGGCCCCTCCGAAGACCTGAGGGCTATTCCTGGGAGGCTTGGCCGGCCCGGCCTTCCCCTTGCCCTCCGCCTGCCCTCCAGGGACTCACCCACAGGGTCCACCAGGTCGATGTGATCCACAAAGTCCCGTTTTCCCAGATAGACAGTGAGCTGGGGGGAGAGGCACAGGGCACGTTAGCAGCTGAGGGCCTGTAGGAGACAGTCCCCTCCCCTAGAAGAAATGCTAGGGGCAGCCCCTGAAACTCCCAGACCCATTTATAATCCTTATCAAAACCATAACTGGACTTGAACGCTCACCGCAGCCCTAACACTAAGAATAGCAAACCCCTATAAAATTTTAAAAGCATCTCTTCCTCCCGAAGACCTAGGAAGAAGTCATAATTGTTTGTTTTACAGGTGAGGACGCTGAGCTCTTCAACGCCAGGCATCCTGACTGTGCAGCAGCCGCGGCAGGGAGCTGGCCAAACAGAAGTGATGGCATCTCAGAGAGCACGAGGGAGCCCCTGAGCTGAGCCCTCCGGGGGCTCTGAGCACTGACACTGTGTTCTTCAATTGCTCGCCACACCCCATGCAGCCCAGGCAGGGATCCACTTACATGAGGACATATTTCTTTCTTTTTTAAAAAATTATTTTTTTAAATTGACATATAAGATCATATTTATTGTGTACAACCCAAGATTGCAAAGTATATACACACTGTGGAATGGTAAACTCTAGCTTCAACAAAGGCATTATGTCACATAGCTATCGTTTGTCTGTGTGAGGACTTGTCTGAGGCAGGGAGGAACTGGGGAGCTGGTGCCCCCCACTCAGCAGCCAGCCTGTGGGGAAGAACCCCCGAACTAGAATTCCAGCGGCTCCAAGCCAAATCCAGAGTGTCATCTTAGATGCTTGCTGTTCCTCAGCAATCTCCAATCCTGATGGCTCTACTTCCATTTCTCAAATTTCTCAAAACCGTCCCTCCCCACCCCACAGCCACTCCTGCCTGGACGGACGACCACACTGGCCCCTTGATGCTCTGCTGCGGGCAGCCTCGTGGCTCAGAGCCCTCTCCTTATCCAGAATGGTCATCCTAAAATGCAAATCCAACCATGCTCCTCCTGCCTGAAAACCCTTTCACGGCTCCTCCGTGCCCAGATCTAAGGATGACAAATGAGTTTCATTTCAAGAGCCGACTCTGATCGGCTGGTAGGGGCTGTCTGGGGCCTGGGCTAGGAGGAGTCTAAGATAGAGTCCCAGTGCTGCAGGAAAGGGTGGTGAGGACTGGTGGTGTCTGCTGCGGGCACAGCAGGAGGTGTGGAAGCACATGTGGCACTGTCTGCCAACCCAGGCCACGGGTCTATGCTCCTAAGCTCAGCCACGGTCTCCTTGTGTCCAGCCCTGCAGCCTCCCAGCCTCAGCGCCCACTCCCGCTGCCTCCCTCCTGGCACCCTGAGGCTCAGCTGCTTGGGACTCACCCACACTCCCTGCAATTTTATGTTCCTGCCAAGAATACCCTTTTCCACCTCGCCTTGGAAATGCATCCTTCCCGGCAGGAGCTGTCACCGAGCACCTAGGCTGGGGCCTGCAGCCCCTGCTACCTGGCATCTCACTGTTGCCACTTCATATCCAAAGGATCCATTTCTGTGTGTGCCCTGCCGTCTGCTATGAGCAGCATGGCTGTGCCTGACTCATCTCGGCACACCCTGCCCCAGTGCCCCAGGCGTGGCCCAGACCTGGCCTGGAATAGCATCTATGTGCTGAACTGAGAGGGAAGCAGGATGGAGCCTGGGGCCAGTGGGAAGAAAGAAAGGGGAACAGGCCTGTGTGCTGCCCTAGATAATGAGGTGACAAGGTGACACCAGGGTCCTCTTCTACCAAGGGACTCGCTCACCCCATGCCCTTGGCACTTACGGATTGGCTTGTCCTGTGTTTATCACACTCGCGTCTCCCCCTACAGCAGGCTGGGGGACCCTGAAGTCCAGGGGAGCTGTACCTGTACCCCACTCGCAGAAAGGTTCCTGGGAGCCTCCCCCTTGGGATGCAGGGCCCCTAAGGAAAGAGCTGCGCCACCTTCGGATGGGGAGCAGCGTCTGCCCCTCCCACGGGACGTGCACATGTCAGTGGAGACGCCACGCCCTCTGTGGTCCCAAGAGAGGACGATTAGAGTCTGGGGTCCGGGAGGAGCCCGTGTGGCTGTTACAGACTTACCTTTCCATTCGGGCTGGCCTTCTTGAACACTCTGTGGAGAGAAAGAGAGGTAAGGCCCGGCTCCCACACGCTGCCCAGGGGCTCCTGCAGGCCACCCAGAGGCAGGACCTCGGTCGGCCCAGGGGCCTGGTGTGTCTGACAGGCACCACTCGAGCACTGAGCACGGAACAGTGCCCAGCTTACCAACTCTACCTCGAGCCACCATTACCGCCATGAGGGCTCTCCTGGGCCAGCCCTGGGCCAGCAACAGCCACTTTGCAGCCTCTTCCTCGCGGGACAGGCAAGGGGGTCTTTCCAAGTGCAACCCACGCTCAAGCACAGAAAGACCTGGCGTGCCAGGAGGCCTGTGGGACCTGCCCTTGCCTCCTCTGCCTCCCAGGTCACCTCCCCGGTTCCTCAAGCGCAGCAGGGCCATTCCCGCCTCAGGGCCTTTGCTCAGGCAGGCCCTTCCCTGGGGTGCTCTCCCCAGACACACGCTCGGCCCACCCCGCAGCCCCATCTGATGCTTCAACCTGCCCCCGCCCCGCCCAATCCTTCTCTGGCTCCACTTCTTCTCTGCTAACACGGTGCTCCATGAGGGCACCTGTCCACCGATGTGAATGTCCCAAGCTCCCAGGACACCACACTTAACCGCTGTTCAATAAATATGTGTTAATGAATGGCAGGTAGCAAGCACTCAATTAATACCAGTTGAACAGGTGAATGAACGAATTAGTGAGGGAATCAACTGCCTGACTGGACTAAGAAACCAAGGCCCAGGAAAGGAAAGGGACACGCCTGTGGTCACACAGCAGAGCCCTGGACACAAGGGCAGGCCGAGATGCAGTCTCCAGCTCCAGAGAAGTGCTCACTTGCCTTCCGTAGCTCCCTCTGCTGTCTCCGCCCATCCGGGTCTGGGAGCCTGAGACCTCTCACCTACCCCCATCATCCAGCCCCCGAACTCCACACAGTCAGATTGGGAGAGAGAGAAAAAATGTGAAAGATAAAGACAGAGCCCCAGAGACAGGGGTGTTGGAGAAGAGGGGGAAGACAGGGACACAGGCCCTGGACATGTGAAAACAGAAGATGGAATGAGGGATGGAGAAAGCGAGAGGGCTAGGAACAGCCACAGAGAGATGGCGCAGGCCCAGCAAGGCTGAGAAGGACATAGGCCACCCAATCCCCCCGGAGCAGGAGGCCTAGCAGGCATCCCAGTGGGCAGGCTGGCGAGGTCTGAGACGGGAGCCACAGACACAGCTGCTCCCCACTCCTCCAGGAAGAGGAGTGGCAGGTGGCTCTGTGCTGCCTCCCCAGCACCGGCCTGCCTCCCCCACTTCTGGGGTCCCCAGGGACCACTGCTGTGCCTGAGCACGGCTTGCAAAAAAGAGCCTGGCACGTCCTTCCCCCACCTCCCCTAGGAGCCCTGGGCTCTTCTCCCCGCATAAATATTTATCAGTGTTTGGAGTGTGACAATGCCACCTTCAGCTGGGGTGTGATAATTGCTAAAGTGAGAAAAAAGACAGATCACACGACTTGAACCAGCAGCTCTCAAGATGGGTCTGGACCTGCAGAGGAGACCAGAGAAGTGGCACAGGCCACAAGGACCCCAGCTGCTTCTAAAAGCCCCAGGAGCACGGGGTCTGAGGGACAGGAAGGCCACGAATGCCTGAGGCCACAAACAACTGAGTCAGAGAAAGCCACTGTGGGGACTCGGTCAGGATTCAGATGCAATTCTGCCTGCCTGCCCCCAGAGACTGGGTGCTTTCTCTCCAAACCTGCTGCAGGTTGGATAAAGCAAGTGTTTTTTATCAGGAATAACAGCAGAGGGGAAATGAGGACGGGAGAGGTAAGGGTGACAAGGGGCAGGAAGCATGACCAGCAGTGAAGAATGACCTGCCACTAACTTAATCGACACTGGGGCCACCTCCTTCAGGAAGCCGGGACCGCTGATGGCTTCCTCAAACAACAATAGCTGCCGCACTCCCTGAGAGCACGTTATGCCCTACTCACAACTTTAAGTATTTTTCCCAGAACACTGCTGATCCTGAAAACAATCCCATTTCAGAGATGAGGAAACTGAGGCTAATGGAGGCAAACTGTGGTCTGCCTGTTTCCAGAGCCCACGTCCTTTCCACCGTCACACTGCCAAGCCCTCCCTGAAACAACTTCCCTGGCTCCCCGACCCTAATGCTGTCAGAAAAGAGGCCCCTGTGGGGGTGTTTCCAGTTTACCAGGACCCCCACGTGTGCAGCACCATACAGATGGCTCTGCCCGTCCACAAATGCCCAAGACCGAGGTCAAAGCCAGACTCCCAGGTTGTGGGAGGTGGTTTTTAGCTCACCCCTTCCTGTCGTCCCATCTATGCCCCGCAGCTGGGTCCTCAGAGCCACAGCTGGGAGCCCAGCAGAGAAACACCAGCAGCGTTCTAGCCGATTAAGGCTCACTGGAGACAAGGAACAGAGACCGCCCGACCCCCAGGGCAGCTCAAGAAAAGGGGGAGGGGACACTATATCTCACGGGAAGGATGAGCAGGCAGGACGCCTGGGCGCTGGAGCCAGCACCAGGGACGCCATCCGATTCTCAGGCGGTCACGCTCTCTCTCCACCTCTCCGTCTGGGGCTGCACATCCTTCCGGCTGCGCTGCTCTCTGCGCGGCTGCTCCATTGTCTCTGCGGACCAGCTCTCTGCTTACTCAGGGCTTTGCCGCTCCTCCATCCTTTTGGCTTGCATGTGACTCTCACTCCGACCCTGTTTCTACGCTGCCTCTCCATCAGCTTCCCACTGCTAACTGGCTGAGTGGCCCAATTCCAAACTCCCAGGGGAGGAATGTGATTGGTCAGCTTCAGTCAGGTGTCCCACACCTGCGCCAATCAGCTATGCCTAGGTGTGTCACACACCTGGTGTGTCCTGTGGTCCATGAGGCATGGGCAAAAGAGGGTCTGTCTAGCAGTTTTTTCCAAACTAGGGGTCACAACCCACTGGTTGATAATGAAATCAACATAAAAGGATTTTTTGGTTTCTAATGAAATGGAATAGAATAGAATAGAATAGAAAATATAAGCATGCACTGCAGGTAGCAGGGGTAAAGCAGATAATACTGCATTCACCAATATTCAGTTTCTCACTAAGGCTTGGCATATGGGAGCATCGAGCTCCTCCAATCATACGAATCTAGGCATGCCCACGTGGCTTGCTCCAGCCAATCAAATACGAGTAGAAGTGCCACGTGTCACTTCCAGGCAGATGCATTTAAGTGCTGGTGCTTGATTCCACATTAGTTCCTATGGCTGCTGTGGCAAATTACCAAAACTTAGTGGCCTAAAACAACACAAATGTACTATCTTACAGTTCTGTGGTTCCGAAATACAAAATGGGTCTCACTGGGCTAAAACCAAGGTATCAGCAGGGCTATGTTCCTTTCTGGAGCCTCTGGGCTGGTCTGTTTCCCTGCCTTTCCCAGCTTCTAGAGGCCACCCACACTCCTTGGCTCATGGCCCCTGCCTCCACCTTCAAAGCCCACAAGAGCTGGTTGAGTTCTTATCACACTGCATCGCTATGACCTCCTCTGCCTCTTTCTTCCACTTTTAAAGACCCTTGGGATTACACTGTGGCCATCCGCATAATCCAGAACAATCCCCCTATTTCAAGATCAGTTGATTAGTAGCCACCATAACCCTCTGCCATGTAACATAACATATTCACAGCTTCCAAGTATTAGGGTGTGGACATCTTTCCGGGGAAGCAATTCTCCTGCCTGCTGTATTCTCTCTCTTTCCTCCAGCACTGAAACCGGCCGTGATCTGATGGGAAAGCCTCCACGAACCTAAATCCTAGGACTCTCCCACTACATGATAGATGTGAAGCTTAAGGCAGAAAGAAAGCTCTCGAACCATTAAGGTTTTGGAGCTGTTACTACAGCCGACCAGCTTTTCCTGGCTGATACAAAAAGTGAGTTTTATTAAATACTTAATGAAACTTTTGTTTTAGGTGAATATGTGTGTACTGAGTTACAATGAAAAATTAATTTTATGCAGCAAATTTTAAAATGTTTAAAATCAAGTGTCTAAAAAAACATACCTAAACCACACATGCCCTAGCAGTGTCTGTGCAGCCTGTTGGATGCTGTTTTCTGATTTCATTCCTTGGGGTGTTCTGCCAGGAAGACAGGCAGGTCAACTCTCCAGTAACCAGAATGTTGGCTTCTCCAGTGAGCCCCAGCCCCCATCTGCATCACGGGGTACACATTGATCAAATTTGACACTAATACTGCTCTTCTGTGAGCCAGCAGTCTTTCCAGTATCCCTTTGTGCCTGTCAGGAAGAGGACTGCACCACAAAGGACCTAAATGAAGTACGTTCTGAGACAGATTATCCAGAAACAAGAGTTTATAATTCTGTACCTTACAGCTAAACAATGGAATATTACACAGCACTGAAATTAGGCTTGCTTCTTTCATAACACAGAGAAATGCCTGCCATAGATTATTGAGCAGAATAAGTCTGGAATTAGAACAGCACATTTGTCATGAGCTCAACTTTATACTCAATAAATACCCAAAATAAAAAATAAAAAGACAATGTTCTTAAGATGGCAATACCCTCCTAATTGACCTATGGATTTAATCCAATCTCTATCAAAATCCCAGCCGACTATTTTTGCAGAAAAATGACACGCTGATCCTAAAATTCATAAGGAACTGAAAGGGACCCAGAATAACCAAAACAATCTTGAAAAAGATAGAACCACGTTGGAGGACTCACACTCAAGACTGTGTGGTACAGGCATAAACATAGAGTACAGATCAAAGGAACAGGATGGAGAGCCCAGAAATAAACCCAAATATTTATTGATTTAAGCCAAGACAAGTCAATGGGGGAAAGAACAATCTTTTCAACAAATGATGCTGGGGCCAGCACAGTGGCTCACGCCTGTAATCCCAACACACTTTAGAAGGCCAAGGCGGAAGGATCACTTGAGCCGACAAGTTCAAGATAAGCATGGGCAACATAGTGAGAACCCATCTCTACAAAAAAAAAAAAAAAAAATGACAAATGATGCTGGGACAATTGGATATCCACATGCAAAAGAATGAAGTTAGACCCCCTATCTCACACTGCTTACAAAAATTAACTCAAATGGACCAAAGACCTAAATGTAAAAACTACAATTGAAAAACTCTTAGAAGAAAACATAAAGCCAGGTGTGGTGGCTCACATCTATAATCTTAACACTTTGGGAGGCAGAGACAGGAGGACTGCTTGAAGCCAGGAGTTCAAGACCAACCTAAGCCACAGGGAGACCCTGTCTCTACAAAAAATAGAAAAATCAATTGGGCTTAGTGGTGCATGCCTGGAGTCCTAGCTACTCGGGACGCTGAGGCAGGAGGATCACTTGAACCCAGGAGTTTGAGGTTGCAGTAAGTTATGATCATGCCACTGCACTCTAGCCCGGGCAACAGAATTAGATCTTGAGGCCGGGCGCGGTGGCTCACGCCTATAATCCTAGCACTCTGGGAGGCCGAGGCGGGCGGATTGCTCGAGGTCAGGAGTTTGAAACCAGCCTGAGCAAGAGCGAGACCCCGTCTCTACTATTAATAGAAAGAAATTCATTGGCCAACTAATATATATAGAAAAATTAGCTGGGCGTTGTGGCGCATGCCTGTAGTCCCAGTTACTCGGGAGGCTGAGGCAGGAGGATTGCTTGAGCCCAGGAGTCTGAGGTTGCTGTGAGCTAGGCTGACGCCACAGCACTCACTCTAGCCCGGGCAACAAAGCGAGACTCTGTCTCAAAAAAAAAGAATGAGATCTTATCTCAAAAAAAAAAGTTCTTTGGGAGAAGAAAACATAAGTCTAAATCTTCATGACCTTGGATTGGGCAATGGTTTCTTAGATATGACAACAAAAGCACAAGGAAATGAAGAAAAAGCAGATAAAATTTAAAAACATTTGTGCTTCAAAGATCACTATCAAGAAAATGAAAAGACAACCCATAGAATGGAGAACATATTTTCAAATTATGTATCCGGTAAGGGTCTAGTATCCAGGATGTATAAAGAACTATTACAACTCAACAACAAACATGCATATGACCCATTTAAAAGTGGACAATGGATTTATTATATTTGAATAGGCATTTCTCCAAAGAAAATATATGAATGGCCAATAAACACAAGATGTTCAATGTCATCAATCATCAGGTAAATGCAAATCAAAACCACAAGGAGATACTTCACTTCCACTAAGACGCTAAGGTGGCTATAATCAAAGGGAACAATAGTAAGTGCTGACAAGAATATGGAGAAACTGGAACCCTCACACAATGCTTGTGGGAATGCAAAGTGGTACAGCCACTTTGGAAAATGATCTGGCATTTCTCCAAACGTTAAATATAGAGTTAACATGTGACCCATCAAGTCCACTCTTAGGTATATACCCAAGAGAACTGAAAACATGTCTGCATAAAAACTTATACATAAATGTTTGCAGCAGCATTTTTCAAAATACCTATAAAAAGTGAAAAAAAAACCCAATGTCCATCACCGATGCATGTATTTTTTAACATTGTGTATACAGACAATGGGATATTATTCAGCCATAAAATTAGATGAAGTACTGATTCATGCTACAACATAGATGGATCTTGAAACATTATGCTAAGTAAATTAATCCAGACACAATAGGCCACATATTGTATGATTCCACTTACATGAAATGTTCAGAGTAGGCAGATTGATAGAGATACAAAGTTGATTAGTGTTCACCAGCTGTTGGTGGGAAGATGAGAGGGGAGTGATTTCTTTTTTTACCTACATTTCTGTTGGCTGTCAGGAGCAATGGGCACTGAGCTTAGAAAATGCTTCACAGAGTCGGGGTTATAACCACCATCAGGCTGAGCTAAGAATACAGCTGACACACCCCAAACAGGCCTCTGCTCAACTCGGACCAGTGGCTATCCCACTAATCATTCACTTGCCCACCAAACATGCACACGATCCCTCCCAGTGCCAGGCTCCGGGAGCACTAACATGAGCAATCCATGGTCCCTGCTGATGAAAGACCACAGTATAGACAAGTTAGAGAAACCCACTAAGAATAATGGCCACCATACATTAAGCTTTCCCAGGTGCTGGGAGCCAGGTGCTGTGCTAAGCATTTTATTAATACATACATTATTATATTATTCCATCTAAATATTCCAGTTTTTCAGAGGAGAAGCCCAGACTCCAAGACCCTACATAACTTGTCCAGGGTCACAAAGCCAGTATCAGAAAATTCACACAGGAGAAACCCCACGAATGCTCCACCTATGGGAAACCATTTAGACAAAACACATCTTAATATCAGAAAGCTCATCTGCTTTCTGCAGATTCACTGCCAGTGAATTAAGAGAACACTAGTAACAATTCATTCCTTTGTGAGTGTCAGAAAATTCATGTTAGAAAAAAATGCTATGAATGCAGTGAATGTGGGAAGACCTTCAGATATTTACTCAATCTTTAGTCAACATCAGAGAACACATCCAAGGCCAGGCACTATGGCTCACGTCTGTAATCCTAGCATTCTGGGAGGCTGAGGTGGGAGGATTGCCAGAGGTCAGGAGTTTGAGACCAGCCTGAATAAGAGCAAGACCCCATCTCTACTAAAAATAGAAAAATTAGCTGGGCATCATGGTGTGCACCTGTAGTCCCAGCTACTTGGGAGGCTGAGGCAGGAGGATCCCTTGAGCCCAGGAATTTGAGGTTGCAGTGAGCTATGATGATGCCATTGCACTCTACCCAGGGTGACAGAGTGAGACTATGTCAAAAAGAAAGAAAGAAAGAAAGAAAAGAAAAGAAAACTCATCCAGGAGAGAATCCAGGTGCCAGTTACTGCTTCAAGTATGTCACAAATATTAACTCATTTATTCTTCCAACAACCCTATAAGGAGTGCCATTATCATCCTACTTGTTTTTCTTTTTTTTCAGGAGCCATGTTAATCTTCTCTGTATGGTTCCAATTTTAGTATATATGCTGCCAAAGCAAGCACTA